TGACCTAGGCACACACACAAGAGACTGTTCTCCAGTCACACGTCACTTACCAACAGAGTATGTTTTGGGAGATGCACCACCAGGTGATCGTGCACATGTTCAAACACCAGAGTGCATTAGCACAAACCTTCACGGCACAGTGTACTGCATACCAGGGCTGCATGGTTCAGCCTGTTGTGCCTAGATAACACCTGTGCAGCACATGACTGTACTTTGACACTGTAGGCAAGGGTAACACCGCGGTATTTGTGTGTCTGAACACAGAAAAGTTACAGTTAAAACGCAGTATGGGTTGAGCACAGCAAATACAAAAGTCTGAAATTACTTCCTGAGCACCAACAAAACGCTCAAAGGAAATGCTCACTGGAGTATATGAGATTTTGAATGTGTGAACCTGGGATCTGGCATACAACCAGTAAGTCAAATACAATAGTCCCAAATGAAAACTGAAACACTGCTGGTCCTAATAAGCATTTTGAATATATACTCAATCTGTATTATACTCTTATGGGACCACCGTAAGGTGTGCAGCTCCATCACTGACTGAAACATAATTATGCAGTGCATGACTGCATTAAATAAGGTGGAGTCCACTGAGTGTGGTGGGTCACATCCACAGTTAGAGGTGGAGGTGGGAAGATGGCTTGAGCCCACAAGTTCAAGGCTGCAGTGAGCTATGATTGTGCCACTGCACTCCAGCCTGGGTGACACAGTGAGACCCAGTCTCCAAAAAAACAAAACTTTTAAAAAGTTTTTAAAAGAGAGAATTGAACTATATACTGTCGACAAGAAACTCACTTTAAAGACGGGCATAGATTAAAAGTACAAAGGTGAAAATAGACATACCATGCCAATGCTAATCAACAGAAAGCTGAGTACTTCGTTAACATCAGACAGTGCAGACTTCAGGACAGTAGTTTCAACAGGCAGAAAAAGGGCGACGCGTAAAGGCAGCGGGAGTCAGCTGGCCGAGAAACCAACGTGACACCCGTGACAAGAGAGCTTCAAGAGACATGACGCAGAAGCGGACGAATCTAAAGGACGACAGACGAGCTCCCCGCCGCGGTCGAGCAATCCCGCACCCCTTCCTCGATGACAGAACACGTGGACAGAAAGGATCAGAAGACCTGAGCAACTGCGTTTCAACCATGGTGGTGGCTACAGGGTTGCGTGCATTTGTTAGAACTCGCAGAGCTGGACACACAACACCAAACTATGCCTCCAGAAACCCAGCTGAAAAGCAAACAAACACACCCACAGGACTTAATTTGAAAGGGGCTGCTTCTAGTCAAGACAGACACAGGATGAACATCAAAAAGGGACTTGCATCTTTTTGGGAATGACTGCAATGGCGGCTTCATACTCCATGGAATCCCACACGAAGCAGAAGAGACAACTAGACAGCAGAACAAAAGCCCGCACACAAAATCAAGTCACTGCAAGTGGGCAGAGCCAACCTCCTCTAACATGACATGAAGGACGCTGGTGTCTGGGCAAGGAGAGAAGCCATACCCAGGAGGGACTTCCTGGAAGGCAGAAGAGGGCAGCTGGGAGAGCGGGCTGCCCTCCCACCCCGAGTGAGAGCTGCAGAGACCAGCCCAGGATCTACAAGGAGTCTCAACGCTGACCCACTGGGCTCCTGCAGCACAGGAGCCTACAGTGGAAAAGCTGTGGGAATGGCACAAAGGTTCCCAGAAGGGAAGGAAAGGACAGGTCCAGCCCAGAAAGCAGGTTGAGTCCAGAGAGAGCAGGACTAGATCAGAGAAAGGGCAGGTCTAGTCCAGAGAGAGAGCAGGCCTAGACCAGAGAGAGCAGTTCTAGACCAGAGAAAGGGCAAGTCTAGTCTAGAGAGACAGCAGGCCTAGACCAGAGAGAGGAAGCAGAACTAGTTCAGAGAAAGATGGTGAGTAGGTGAGTGGATGACCTTCTGGTGGTTACCAGAGCTCAATTTACATAGATTTGCTAAACCCAACTTTTGTCTTATGTAGTTTTCTGAATCTATGTTTAATTCTACCAAAAAAAGTTTAAAACACACTGAATGCAGAAAGATCGTGAGTTCTTGAGAATTTTAAAGGACGAAAGGGAGGTGGCAAGGGGAGAATCAAAACCAAGCCCACTGGATGCCATGGATTGTAGAGTACTCATCCATGCCTCAGAAGAAAGAAATGAGTAGCTATCTTTTCTGCATTGCCAGTACGAAAGGTGTTTCAGAAGTACCAGACAGTCATGGTTGATGAGGAAAGTTCTTATGCACCAAAGAATTCTCATCTGTAATTGCAGGAGGAATGACAAAATTGCAAAAATTACCATCTGCAACTTCTATGATATAATGGATTCAGCAGTGGTCACCAAGGATGTCAAGGTAAAATGTGCAGGTGCCACACTTTGGGAGACTGAGGTGAGTGGATTGCCTGAGTCCACAGGTTTGAGACCCACCTGGACAACTTGGTGAGACCTCATCTCTACATTAAATCAAAAAATTAGCCGGGCGTGGTAGTGTGCGCCTGTAGTTCCAGCTTGGAAGGCTGAGGCGGAAGGACCGCCGGAGCCCAGCAGGCCGAGGCTGCGGTGGCCGGGAGCGGCCACTGCACTCCAGTCTAGGTGACAGAGTGAGACTCCAACTCAAAAAAAGAAAGGGTAGCAGTGAGAATGTTCTGAACTGAAAGACACCAAAGACTTAAGAGACACTGTAACACACTTGTCTAGATTCAATCAGATTTTTTTTTTAATGTAAAAGGCATTTTGTCAACCAATCTTTCACTACAGACCAGGTACTACATAATAACAGAAAATTATAGTTATTTTGTGCCATGTGAAAATGCATGGCTGTTAGGTGAGAAAATATTCTACTTTTTTCTTAATAGAAATATGTACTGAGTTTTGTTTTTGTTTTTAAGTCAGAGTCTCACTTTGTTGCCCAGGCTAGGAAGCAGTGGCACGCTCATGGCCACCCCAGCATCAACCGGCTGGGCTCAGGCGATCCTTCCGCCTCAGCCTTCCAAGTAGCCGGAACTACAGGCGTACATTACCACACCCAGCTAATTTTTTGATATATTGTAGAGACGAGGTCTCACCAAGTTGCCCAGGCTGGTCTCGAATCCCTGGGCTCAAGCCACTGTGCCTGGCCATATTTAGCATATTTAATGGCTAAAATGGGGTATGCTCAAAACCAAGTGAGAGAAAACACTGGTACCAATTAAGGCTAAGTCCTGTGTGTAGACAGCTAACTGCACTCTCTGCTTTTCCATTATGAAAACGTTCCTTTAAAAGGTTTTTGAAAAAACAACAACAGGACTCTGTGGCGAGCAACATGAGTATTTCCGAGGTGGAGGATGTCATCATGAAGGAAGTCTGTGGGGCGCACACGCCATAGGGGGAGACACAGCGGCACAGGCCACCTGTCAGGTTGGGACAGCAGAGGCAGAGCCGATGCTGGATTCTGAGTCTGGGTCAGTGCATGTGGTGCTGCAAATGTGGAGATACAAACATTGAATTCATAGGGGAAGTAAATGACTACGGTAAGACACGATTTTGTGCCACTCTCCCTGGCACCGCTGTTAGACGAGATGAAGAAGAGAACCAGCGGTTCTCTGGCAGGGCCCGGTGGCTCATGCCCATAATCTGAGCACTTTGGGAGCCCAAGGCAGGAAGATCGCTTGAGCTCAGGAGTTCAAGACCAGCCTGGGCAACATAGTGAGACCTCGTCTCTAAAAAAAAGTCAAAAAAGTTAACCAGACGTAGTGGCATGTGCCTATAGTCCCAGCTACTTGGAAGGCTGAAGTGCAAAGACTGCCTGAGCCCAGGAGATAGAGGCTGCCATGATCGTGCCACTGCACTCCAGCATGGGCAACAGAGTTAAGAGTCCCACTCAATAAACAAATATTAAAAAAAATAAAATAAAAGTAATATTCCAGCCCGGCCAGATCTGCTGAATCAGAAACCTGGTTGTGCTAGCAGATGCCATGGGCTACAGGAACCAGCCTGTACAGGGCACCAAGCTCCAGCTACACCGGTACTTTGTGATGAGAGCACCAGCTCCTCCCACAGGGCTGCCTGTGCTCCGTGATGCACTGGCTTGGGCTGACCTTTGAGACAAGACTCCCAGTCCTGCCTCCTCCACTGGGGGCCAGTGACTCCAGACACACACCCCCAGCCTCTCTGTCCTCACCTGCACAACCTGCTCATGATCTGTGTGGCACAGGCTGCTGTGAAGCCTTGGAGGAGTTACATGTGGAAAGGCTTGGAACAGTGCCTGGCACGTAGGAAATGTACATCTGTGGTTGCTGCTGTTACTATTTCACTCACTTCTAAAACACATGAGGAAGATGCAACAATCAACTTGAAGGCAGCTCTGCTGGTCAACAAGACCAACCACCTCCCCAGAGCGACAGCCTGACACATCCATCAGGAAGCAGGGGGCACTCACGCCCACATCCTAACCTCAGCCCACAGCACAGGCAAGGCCAGGGCATAGGGACACCAGGCAACCTGACCGCCCATGGAACCTCCTGCTCGGCCCTCCTCACGGCCAGCCATGGCCACATGGCTCTAAAGCTAAGAGAAATTCTCAGAAAACATGAATTCCCTCTGTTCTGCCTGCTCTTACTCTGCGCCAGGAGCAGCCACCTGCTCCCAGAACCAAGGCCCAACTCCACTGTGCCTGCCCTGCCAGAAACCGCAATTCTGGGCAGCGGGTCCACCCTGGCACAGTTCTCCCATGTCAATCTAGTCTCCAGTCACAGTCAAAGAGAATAAAACAGGTCATTTTCACTCAAGCACAGTTTATATGCGACCTTGCCTTCTCATAAGCACCAGACGTGGGCGTCATCCTCTGCAGTCACTCAGTGACTTGGTATCTACCTGGCTGGCTCTGCGCAAAGCCCACTTAGGGTCCCTGGTCAGACAACGTAACTGGGGAAAGGGGCAGATGCCACAAAGTCTGTGGCTTCAAGATATCTGACCGATCTCTTGTTGCTTTAAAGGAAAATAAGCCAGCTTACTTCATGGTCCGCACTCTCAGTCGCCATGCATTGACTGTTGGCCAGGGTGGTGATCTCTCGGCTCTTCGGCGTCTCCATGCGGCAGCTGCAGAGAGGCACCTCCTGGAGGCCATCTGTCTCCAGCGCTTCCGGACCGTTGGCCAGCCCTAGCATCACACAGACACATGTCAGTTCATGCAGTCCCGACCTCAGAAGACCTTCCAGAAAGCGATCAGCCGAAAGACCTGATAGCGATCCCATGTGCAAGAAAGTCAAGGCAATGGGTCTACTGCACAGGCACAGACAGCGATGCATGGGGCGAGGCGTCTACATGCCACCGCCACTAGGCGGTGTTGACTGTGCCTCTCCAAGCAATGCACACCCACCAGAGCTACCAGAATTCCTTGTTTCTCTGTGTTCTCTGGACCCGGATTCAAGTCAAAAGTGAGAGGCTGCACCTTCAGTACCACCTTCTAAATTCTCTGGGTTTCACACACAAAAGCATTTCTACGCACAGAGACCTTGTTTTCCCCAGATGGTTTCAGAATTGCAGACATCCCCCAAAAAAGAATTCACTTTGGAAGGCTTTAATAATGGCTTATAGGCCAGGCTCAGTGGCTCAGCCTGTAATCCCAGCGCTTTGGGAGGCTGAGGTGAGTGG